CCCCAAAACCCCAAAACCCCAAAACCCCGAGATGGTGAATTTAATTACTTTTTGCAGACATTTGATAAAAATAGATTTAAATTTTACAGAGAATTAAATAAGAATGTAAATAAAAGTCAAAATAGATGACTAATTCTATTAGATATTAGAATCCTATATTTGGTATTAATAATAATTTAGATATTTAAAAAATAAAACATATGTCCATTATATCAAAATTAGGACTGATTATATGTTTAGGCATAATTGCCTCTATTATTCTGTATATCAGCAATGAGGATTAATCATAAAATTCTGTCAACCTTCAAATTCTTTAATAAGAAACCTAACTGAGATAGGATTTCAATGAAATACTCGCAAGATTTTCAAAAGATTATAAAACCTTAGATCAGTTCACAACAGGCTTAAAGAACTTTAGAACAAATAAGGCTTTAGTAGATTAAATGAACCTAGAAAACGATGGTGTGAAATTCAAACTTAATAAATTCTTCGATATTGATATGGAAGACTTCAAAAATAAATATTTAGGTAGGAATAAAATCGATGAGGTGACATAATTGAAAATAAAAGCAAATTCTGAGGCACTTTAATCAAATAGACAACTAAACATCAATGAAATCAACTCAAATGATAGGGAGCTTTGGTGGTTCTTTGATTTATTTACTAAAAAGACTACTACTAAATCAACAACAACCACTATTAAATCAACAACTACTACTAAATAAACAACATCAACAACTAAGACTACAACTTAAACACCTGTCCCAACTACTAGTTAAACAACCACAACTAAAGCCCCAACAAGTACATCTAATCCAACTACAATAGTAACATCTAGCTCGACAAAAACCACTTATACAGCAACTTCAACCACTGCCTAGACAACAATAACAATAGCTCCTAATTCAACAAATACAAGTACAACAACTCCTAGTCCGTCAGATACAACATAATCTACAACAACGACGGCTCCTCAATTATCAACAGACTTTGTCGGAGATACAGGGTATTTTGACTGGAGAACGGCAGGCAAGATTTCTGCTATTAAGGACCAAGGTGACTGCGGCTCATGCTATGCTTTTTCATCGATGGCTGCTCTTGAAAGTCTATTACTTATTAAAGACTACAATACTTACCAAACCATAGATTTAGCTGAATAATAAATTGTTGATTGCACTGTTAACTATGGAAACAATGGTTGTAATGGGGGAATAGAACTTTTCGTTTACGATTATACTTCTAAGAAAGGTGTAGCTGATGAATCGAAATATCCTTATGTAGACAAAAAATAGACTTGCAAATCAACAGTTACAGGTTCAATTAAAACAACTAGTTACAAATATATTTCTTCTAACATAAACGCTACCACAATTAGATCTATTGTTTAAAAGTAGCCAGTTTCAATTGGAATTTGTGCATCAGATATATAATTCGCTTATTATTCATCAGGAATTTTCTAAAACACCTCGAAATACAAGTGCTGCACTAATATTAATCATGCTCTTAATATTGTTGGATTTGGTAAATAAGGAACTGTAGCGTACTGGATACTTAAAAACTCATGGGGTAAATCATGGGGAGAAAATGGTTACATGAGAATTTAAATGATTGAAAATGTAAAACTCTAAACATGTGGAATCGGATATGATCTTACCTATCCAATTATATGAGATTGATGTTTTAAAATAAGAGTGATAAAACTAATATATGAGCTATTGACTGAAATTGAATTTTACTATGAATAAATTTTAATGTAAGTTTTTTAGTATTAAACTTTATTTATTTCTCTTTAATTGCATCCCAGACCAATATTAAGCTTAGCGGGGTTTTGGGGTTTTGGGG